TCAGGAAGCACCAAGGACAGGCCAAGAATGCCCCAAGAGGCCCCCGAAACGGTCCAAGAGGACCCACAATCGCCAAACAATCGGTCGAAAACGCCTTTACGTCCTCCAGACTACCCAGGAGGCCTCTAGGACGCTCCAAGAGCACTCCCGAGAGGGCCCAAGAGGCCAAGTTCGTTGACTGTCCGTTGGTTTAAAGCTTTGAACGTTCTCGCCGTTTCCACTTCCCGCCGCTCCAAGACGGCTCAAGAGGCCCCGAAGATCGCCCCAAGACGGCCTCCAAGAGGGCCCCCAAACAGCCCAAGAAGACCCCAAGACAGCCCAAAACGCCTCCAAGACGGCTTCACAAGCACCCAAGACGGCTCCAAGAGCGTGCCCAGACGGGTGACCCGAACAGACATTTCGAGCCCTCGGCCCCGAAGGGCTCCCAAAAGGCCCCGAGAGGTTCGAGGCCCCAAGAAGCCCACAAGAGGTCCCGAGGAAGCCCAAGAGCCGCCCGAGAGGCTCAGAAGAGGCCCCCAAGGAGGCTCCCCGAGAGGCCCTTCAATTCCTCCCCAGAGAGGCCCCCGAGAGCCATCCGAAGAGACCCTAAGAAACATCCCTGAGGACTCTGGCCCACGTCAGCGTCGTCGTCGTCGCCGCCGCCGTTGTCGTCATCGTCGTCTCCCTTCAGGGTAGGCGGCACCAGCCGTACAGCCTTCACAATAACAAATATGAATATCTCTACTCCTGTCCCGCTCTCTCTCTCTCTCTCTCTCTCCCTCCATCTCCAACGCCCCTTCGGAAGTAGGGGTACACATGCATGCGTGCGTGAGAGAGAGAGAGTCGCCAAACATTTAGGTAGCCAGGGCCTTATTAGGCCCTGTAAACGGCCAACTGACTGTTCTACAATTTCCCAAAATTTGGCTCGTGAATGCGACATCGTATAACATGTGCACCGGAACTGCCAAAAAAACCAAACAAATAAAGAACCAAACGGCGCCTGGATCGGAACTGGAACTGAAACCGCAGCAGACGCGGCGACGAGGCCGTGGACAAAAAACTGCGACGGACCCGGGAGACCAACCAGGAAAACGGAACCGGCGAAGGGAGCAGCCCTCCGTCGTTCCCTGGCCATCGCTCGGACGCCCATGCCCTGTGCGTGTCTCGACCTCGCGCGCGGACGCTTCGCAAGCTGACGCAAGATGCTCCTCCTCGATGATGCTCGCCGAGGAGCGCGCCACGCCTCCGAGCGATGCCGGGTGCCCCTGGGGGCCCGCGGAGGCCAGGGGGCCACGGACAGCACGCAGGCGCCGGGGCGCGGCAGGGCGTGCCCGTGCCCGGGAGGCGCGCGGCCGCCCCCGACGAGGCCGCGCGCAGAGGGGGGAGGGGGGAGGGCCTCTCAGCAGCACCCCTGCGTCCCCAGAAGGCGCGGGCCTCATCTGCAGACGTGAGGCCGGCGCCTCCCAAGGAGCAGCCTCGTGCTAAGAAGCCCTCCCCCTCCCTCCACCCCCTCGTGTAAGGGGCCCAGAAGTATACACCACCACCACCACCTCCCTCCCCCCCTCCCCCCCGCGAGAGAGGAGGAATCGACGTGGTGGTGGTGTATATTCGCTGGGCCCCCCTTGTGCGCCCTTGTGCGCGCCGCCAACCGGAGGCGCAGCTTTTCGCAGCGGGCGCGCTCCCAGGACAGGCGCCGCCCACCGCGCCAAATGTGCGGGTCCGGCGGTGCCATGCCGCGGTCTGCTGCCATGCTCGGCTGCACGCAGGAGCGGCCCCGGGCGAGAGAGAGTGCCCCTCTGTTGCGCGGCTCTCATTGGGGTCCCGTGGGGGACCAGACACAAGCGCGCAAGACGCTACAGTCGCACCGCTTTCGGCGATCGGTGGACCCCAAGGGGCCCGCACCTAGGGCCCCTCTGGCGAAGGGTCACTCATACGCGCAGCCGACATTCGCGCCACAGGAGCATCGAAGGCGGGCCGAACCGGCCAAAGAGGGGAACGCGAGGGGGGGGGGGAGGGAGAGGGGGGACATACGGTTAGGTCGGGCATGTCCTCCAACAGGCATAGTTTGAAGGAAAAAAAGAAATCAGAATGTACTCAAAAACTCAAAGGAATACTCAAACAAATCGCTCCCTGACTAACTTCTTGACTATGTTTGAATATTCCTCCTGTAGAGGGACATGCCCGGCTTAACACCAGAAGGAGCGCTGAAAAGGGGGAACACGAGGAGATTATTTGGCCGCGGCGAGCCTCGGCCAAGAGAAAAAATTAATCAAAAAGCGGCCGGAAGAGCCGAGCCACCCCTGAGACCAAAGCGGTCCTTCTTTCGGCGTCTTGGCTGTAGGGCCTAGGGACTTCTCCTCCTAAGAAAAGAAGAAATAAGAAATAAGAAGAAGAAATAAGACAGAAAAAAGAAGAATGAGAAGAAGAAGATAGAACAGAATAAGAGAAGAACAAATAGAGAAGAAAGAGAATAAGAATAAGAAGAGGAGGGGGGGAAGAAAGAAAGACAA